CCGTCATATCTCGCATCTTGGCCCTTGGGTATAATTTCCCCAGTTATAATTGTAGCAAAAATATTTATGCAGAAATTATGGCTGTTAAAATTGAACTGGAATGTGTTTTGCCAGAAAGGAAGCTAAAGAATGGAAGAATTCTCCACTACCTTGCCAGCTAATTACAACATTGAATCCCTAGATGTTTTTTATTACCGGATAGAATCAAGATTGAATTACTGGTTTCTGTGATGCCTCAGAGGCTGCCTATGGAGCAGTTATCTACTGTAAGCAACATCAGCAACAAACCATACATCAATGAGGTTGGTGTGCAGTAAATCGCGTGTCCCCCTAAAGAAGAAACACAATCCAAGACTTGACTTTGCGCAGCATGCTATTAGCTAAAACTGATGATCGAGTGAAATCATCATTAAAATTGTAGCTTACTGCTATTCACCTTTGGGACCGATTCTATGATTGTGCGTCATGGATCAACAAAGAGCCACACCTGCTCAAGACATTTTTGCAAACGGATTTCAAAGATACAGGATCTGACTGAAATAGCACAGTGGCATCATATGCTTCTGAAGAAAAACCCATCAGATCTCATATCGAGGTATGTCTGCCAAAAACTGCAACTAAGTCAACTGTGGTGGAACGGGCCTGACTTCTTAATGAAGGATGAATACCCTATAAGAGTTATACCTGCAGGCAATTACTGAAAGGGACAGTAATGACTTAAAAACTTTGCTGATTCTGAACTATCTACATGTTAAATCTGAATGTGAATAATTTCATTAATGATTTATTGAATTGCAGTAATAAGTATTTAAAATTAATTCGTATTATAAGTTTTTGTTTTAGGTTTACAAGAATTGTAAGCAAGATCAAAAGCAGGTAGGTAATTACAAGTGGGAGAATTGAGAGCAGCTGAGAAACTTAATAAATTAGTACAGGGTGAGTATTTTTAAAAGATAAAGATCTTAAAAAATTAGGTATTGTTCCAAGAAATAGTTCTATAAAAAGTCTTAAACCCTTTCATTGACAGTAATGGACTGTTGAGAGTTGGAGGTAGATTAAAAAATAGCAATTTAACTTATGAGAAAAATTTCCTATTATTCTGCCTTCTAAACATAAATTACGAGTTAATAGTTAATTACTATATTTAAAATATTTGCATGTGGGTCCTCAATCTTTGTTATATCATATAAGACAAAATTTTGGATTGTAAGTGGTAGAATGTTTGTAGAAAAATTGTAAAAAATTGTATAATATGTTTTAAAGCCAATCCCATTGTAGCTCAGCAAATCATGGGTGATTTACCCAAGGAAAGAATCACAGCTAATCTTACATTCAATTGTACTGGAGTTGACCTCTGTGGCCCATTCTTAATTAAGTACAAAAACCAGAGAAAAGGTACATATCAAAAAGTTTATGTGTGTATATTCATTTGTATGGTTACTAAGGCCATTCATTTAGAGCTGATAACAGACCTAACATCTGAAGCATTAATAGCTACCTTGAAACGTTTCTTTGCACGAAGAGGTAAAAGTTTAACACTTTTCAGTGATAACGCTACGAATTTTGTAGGTGCAAATGCAGAATTAAAGAGGTTAAACAAACTAGTGAACGAACAGGATGAGCTTTTAGCTGGTTATTTGAGTTATGAGAATATCGAATGGAAATTTCTGCCTCCCAGAGCACCTAATTTTGGAGGCCTTTGGGAGGCTGGAGTTAAATCTTTTAAGTACCACTTCAAACGTGTCGTAGGTAATGCAAAATTGACATTTGAACAATTTTTAACAATTATGATTCAGATTGAAGGAATTTTAAATTCCCGACCATTGACACCCTTGTCTTCGGACATTGATGATTTAGAGGTTCTAACACCTGGGCATTTTTTAATTGGTAGAGCAATTAATTCGATCCCTGAGCCAGATATCACGTAAGTTAACATTAACAGGTTAAAATTGTGGCAACAGATCACAAGATTAGTACAAATTATCTGGAAAAAATGGAACTCCAATTATTTAAGTCATTTGCAATCGATCTAAATGGCAAAGTTCTAAAAACAATATACAAGTTGGAGACATGGTCTTAATTTAAAGATAATTTGCCTTGTTGTAATTGGGCGGTTGGTCGTATAATAGAAGTATTTTATGGTAAAGATGGAAAGGTTCGCGTGTGTAATGTAAAAACTCAAACTGGAACTTTCAAACGACCAATTACCAAATTATGTGTCTTACCAATACAAAAATGAGTATTGTCTTATAGTTATTGTACAGTATTGAATGTGTTTCACATAAAATGTCATTATGTAACTGAAATGTTATATTGTATTGCTTTGAGTTGTACGCTAATGTATATGGTAAATGTCTAATTATAAAAATGATTTTTATGTAATAGTACTTATTCAAAATTGTTTATGATATACTTGTTTAATTTTTTTATGCTATATCTTAATTACAATAGTTGAATGCTAAGCATTGCAACGCGGGGCGGCATGTTTGCGCCTGCGCATCTGTAATGTAATCCACGCATGCGCATCTGTAATGTGATGATCAGACGAGTTTGAGAATCGCCATCGACGGTGTAAGATGGTTGGTCACAGCTGTGAATTAATGAGTGATTGTAATTAATTGTGAGAATTAATAAAGAATCGAACCAGCGAATTTATTTAGTGCGTGTTATTTGGGACGAGACCCAAACAGATACCACAGGGAGAAAAACTAATTTCACTCGCTAAATTCAACGAAAAGGTAGAATTAGCTTAATTATATCCACATGGTAAGGGGGGGCCTGCTTTTGAAGTAGTATGAGTCAAAATACTTGCCGGTTTTGTGACCGACCAGATGATTACACACAATTATTTTCCATGCCATTTCCTGAAAAAGCCGAACTGCTCAGGGGGTTAAAAGAAATAATTTTTCTGTGTTCAGATATTTATTTTCTTTACTACTTATCTGCACTGTATAAATTTAAAGTATGAAATAAAACATGCAATTTTTGTTTAATTACATGGTTTTAGTCAACTGCAATAAAAATTAATTCTTTTAACTATCATAATATTCACTGTTATAAAAATAACTTCTAGCAGTGCCTATATATGAACTTTATTAGAACATTTACATAATTCAGTGGAATGATATACACAGGGGTGATTGGAAACCCATTTTAAAACTCCTCAAAACCACCTTGTAATAAAAATCCGACATGATTAACAATTTTATTAGTGAAGCAAATTTCTTAATATATTAAATGCTTTTTAATTTCTTAAATTATGCTTCTTAATTTATGTTTGACTATATTCTTTCACAAAGTTACTTAGCTTTCTAGTTTCTCTATAATTCTTAAAATAATTGCTAAATTTAGCTTGTCTTTTTTTTTTTTAAGAAGGGATTTAAGTTCCAAAAAGTGCTCCACTAATATTTTTGTTTGCCATCAATTTAAAAATTAGTTCATATCAGCAAGCCACTTTAATGCAAACAATGATTTTTCACTTAACCCTTCAAGTATCAAGATTAGAACCTGAAGTATGCATCTTAATAAGCGTTGGAACTATACTAATAAGTGAGGAACTGCTAGTAGGACAAGAATAATTTTTTAATGAAAATAATTTAGGCAAGATGTCCAGCTACTCAGTAATTATATCCAAAATCTTTGCCAATAGTTTCCAAAATGACAAAAATTCCACACATATTTTTGTTTAACAAGAATAAATAATATTTCTATCTTCACAGTACCTAGGCTGTCAATGATCACTGATGTTCTATATTCTGTCGTAACATCAATGTAAATAAATGTACTTTTAATAGGGGGTAAAAAAAATTAATTAAATATGTCACTACTGTTCTATTTTTGCTTATTTCTGTTTTTCATCTTCTTTCAGTATCAGCCTAAATGTTTACAGTAACAGTAACTCTTTTTTTGTTTTTGTTTTGTTTGCTGGTGTATAAGAGAAGTCACTATGTATTCAATAGTTTTGGACTTTTTGGTGACACAGAAATGTTTTCATCTACTGAAATCACCTTTGGCAGATCATGTGCTTATTTCTTCAAGGTAATGAATGTTGTTTCTCAATGCAGAATAGGATTCATAATATTGAATTTGATAAGACAGAGTTCTTGTATCATTTTTTTTTTTTATATACAAGACTATAAATTATACTAAAAGTTATATTCAAGAAAATTATTCTTGTATAATTGAATTAATTTTTTTTCATATAATCAGAAAATTCTATATATGCCTCATTAAAAATACATTTAAACTCTATTTTTATAGATTAAACTTTCCAGAATTCCTAATAATTTTTATAAACTTCTGTACAAAAAAACAAAATTTATGAACACTAATCTTCAAGATTAATTTCCGTGAAGATTACCGTGCAATTCTGAAATCTGGAAATTCTGGATTTGAGAAAATAAAAAATTTGGAATTTTAACAATATTCGGACCACAATCACTCCTCTATACATAAGAATGATTACATTTAATTCATTTAAAACTACTATTTTTATAGATTAAACTTTCCAGAATTCCTAATAATTTTTATAAACTTCTGTACAAAAGAATAATTTATGAACATTAATCTTCAAGACTAATTTCCGTGAAGATTACCGTGCGATGCTGAAATCTGGATGGATTTGAGAAAATAAAAAATTTGGAATTTTAACAATATTCGGACCACAATCACTCCTCTATACATAAGAATGATTACATTTAATTCATTTAAATTTTACTTAGACAATTTTTATTCAAAATCTACCACTATAATAACAGCTACATAATTTTACTTTTAATCACACATGACAAAGAATATTACTAAAGGCGGGAAAATTTCACTTTTTTTGTGCATTTAATTAAAACTATTAAAATCATGAACTTTTTTTACATTCTATTTAATATGCAACATGTAAATGAAAATTTCTTTCAAATATTAAAATTTTTAATATTCAAGAAACAAAGAATACTACATATTTTTTTCATATTAAAGAATGAAACTAAAGTCTCACTGAAACTCACTCAAATATATTGTATCCATCATGAACTTTCAAAGCGTTCTTAAAATATTTAAGTTCGGAATCAAATTCTTCTACACTTGCTGCACATGTTCCGTGTTTTGTCCATTCATGCTTCCTTAATAGAAAAAACAAATAAAATTTAATAAAACGATAAAAAATATGAATACAACATATTATAATTTCATACTTTAGATCATTGAAAAGTTAAATATTTAGCAGTGATAATCAACAGTTTCAGCATTACTAGACACTAGAAATACAGAAAGTAGTTTATTTTCGCTTTAACATAATTAATTTATGATTTTACTGTGATAATAATATAAAAAGTTTTCTAATATATCACAAAACTGCACGATTTTTGTGCTATATGAATATATTAATCATAATACTCAGCAAAGCATAATATCTGTATGAACAATTGATGACAAAATGTACACTAAATATAAAGTAATTTATTAGTAATTATTATCAATCACAGTTATCAATGGTAACATCATAAAAGATATTGATGTAATTAATTGAAAATTATCTTTTATGTAATAAAATACATGCAATAAGACAAATGCAGGAAAATGATTAAGCCAGGAAACTATTACACTATGTAAATAAATAACATTTATTAACCTTAAGTACGAATATATGGTCTTAATTATTTTTTAATAAAAAAGTTATTTGCTATATCTTGGTTGAATGTTACTTCAACTGGAAATATGACTTTTCAAGATTCATAATATTTTTATTGCCCACATTACTTTTAATTTCTCATTAAAAAAAAAAAACTCTTCAATTTTTTAAAACTTCATCAGAGCCTGATTTACAGATCTTTCTATAATAATTAAGACACAATAACTTTCTATAATATTCAAAATTATACACTTAAGTGAAATTTTAATTAATTTTTCTCAATTCTAAGGTTTACAATTATAAAATTAGATATAGAAACATAATTTTGATTTTCTTTTCAGCCAGTGTCTGGTTTTTGATTATTAAAAAACCAGACACTGGACTAATGTCTTGCTCTCTAGTTAGCAAATGATACTGTTTAGCTAAATGTGTGAAAAATCAGATGCAGTGAACTTTATAGATATCTTCAGCTGAAACTTTCTTGTATTTTTCTAAATTTCTTTTCAAAATTTTTGGAAGTTTTACCTGAAAATTAATCATCTATGTTTAAGATGTTAATATCACATTCATAATTAATTGTAAGCCAGTGGTTACTGTTCCTTTATCTTCACATCCACATTTACTTGCATTCTAAACAAGAATTATTCAACCGGGATAGTGGTTAGTCTCTGACTGCCGTATCTAAATGTCTGGGGTTCAAATCCTAGAAGACATCGATCTTTGTAAATGTATACTGTCTGTGTGGCATAGAGGCACTCAAAATATGCAACATACCTGGTACAGGAAGAGGGGTGGGACACCCTCAGACCAGTCCCCCCTGGGCTGCTCTCCTTCAAAATTGGGGCAGAACTGAGCAAAGTCATAGTGTCACCTCTGTGGTGCTAAGCCTCTTGCCAATGACATGTGCAATCTTGCCTCCTTGCCACAATGAATTTTGTGGGCTTGTTCTGATGTCACACAAGTGAGATTGAGCAAAGTCATGGTGTCACCTCTGTGGTGCTAAGCCTCTTGCCAATGACACGTACAATCTTGCCTCCTTGCCACAATGAATTTTGTGGGCTTGTTCTGATGTCACACAAGCGAGATTAGTCACAACAACAACAACAAAATTATTCGAGGTGGGTGTAAGAGAACAAGATGGAGAACAAGGATGTACAATAAGCATCTAATTAGGATGCCATATGATGTCTGCACTATATCAAATTACTTCAAAGAGCTTTCTGATTCCAATCAAATTCTTTACCTGAGCTTTAGATAGAGCTTAAGGCTGATGATGTGATGATAATTTTGAAATTTTCACTGCTCAGTGAAAGAAGAAGCAGTGAGTAGATTCTGATGATTTTAGGCTATACAGGTCATTCATGTTTTAAGGAATAGGAATTTGCTTTTCATATTTTTTAGAAGGCAAAGCTTCACACATTCTTTTAACTCCATTCACTCTGTATTGGGAAAACATTTCAGTATCAAAAATCCATCCTTATGCTGAGCTGTAAATGTAAACCATTCTGCAAAGAAAATATAGCAAGTATTATTCAAAAATTACTAAATGAATGTAACCAAACTAATGTTTGCTAGGAATATAATTTAGCTAAATTTACAGTTGGTACCTAATGGAAAAATTGGATTTTAATTATTTCTACTTAAAAATTTAGGTATGAAGAAAAAGGCTAAGGTCAAGCATAAGGATGTTGCAGAAGAATTGCTGAAACAACACCATTAAAAAAAAAGCTGCCAATTTCTGGGAAAATGCTCCACACGAAAGCCAATAAATCTGCCAAACACTCTGGGTGACACTGCTTTTATGTGCTCAAATGGGAGGTTGGGTAGGTTTAAGAAGCAGATCAGCATTTCATTAGGAAAAGTTGTTGAAGAATCAGGATTAGTTTCTAAAAAAGGTGTTTGAAACTACGTCTCCTGACAGTGGGGGGGGGGGACATATTCAATGCCAATGTGCTATTTTTATTTTACAAGATAAGGTCAAATCAAACACTAAATATAAAGACCAATGATGGAAAACTATCAAATTGCAAATCCCAGTGTGCCAATATGAGCTGCCTTGAATATCATAGCATTTTGGAAATTGGAAAATCTCAAAAAGAATGTTTAAAAAATATTAAAATTCTTCCAGTTTTTTCCAAATATCCGATATCCCACATTGCTACATGCAAGAACTGAAGTGATAAAAAAATTAAAATACAAAATACTACTTGCATTAAAGATTCTTCTTCTGATGTAATGAAAATGTTAAAGAAATGCAGTATATGGAAAATGAATTTTTTTATCACAGGGGATGCCAAAGCTGTAATGCATGTCATTCATGTAATTTTTATTCATAAAAAGCACAGAACCAAAAATGAAAGAAGCTTACCAATTTTGGACAAAATACTAGTTTAGATAATATTTTCTTATAAACTGTATCATGCCCATGTAAATGATTATTTTTGAACTCAGTAGTTATGTCAAAGTTAAAGGTAAATTCGTGAATATTTTTTGCTACTCACATTTAGTGTTTTTTATTTTTTTATTTTAATGGATGAAATGATTATTCATAATTACAGATGTGTATTTTAGACAGAAATAAATAATCACAGGAAGAGATCTGAACCATGTTTTTTATGTCCCCCCCCCACATAATTTATCATGTAAAATTTTTAGTATATGGTGAACTGAAAAATAACAAAAAAGAAATTTAGCATTGTTCATAACAATAGTTGCAATTAAACCTTAATATTATTTTTTTAAATCAGAATTATGATTTACTTTTAATAGAAGTCTTCTAATAGGAAATGCCACATCTTTAGCATTCTGTGTGGCATAGCATTATGAGATCTCCTAATAGATGTCACAATGCTAATCAGTTTTCTTGTGATTCACTGATCAATTTTTTTACACCATTTCACAAGGTGATAAGTTTTTTGTTATTGCATTGGATATAGTGAACCACAGGATACAGCAAACCAAGCTTTTGAAGTTCAAAAACAATACAAGCAGTAACTCTTTTGTAGGGTTTTCTCTTCAGTTCAGGGGAGGTATGATGATTTTGATTTAAAAAGGTATAAACTCATATTTTATACAATATGTAATTAACTGAAACTAGGGGAAAAAATATGGAAAATAGAAATGCATTTTTTGCTTAAATTCATTCAGAATTCAGTTGGAGTCAGTGAGAAACAGAAAATTAAATTAGGTCTAATCTATTTTTATGATTTAGCAATTAAGTTTTAATGGATGATTTAAACTGTTTATATATTCCAGATTATAAACATTAAATTATGTACTGCTGTGGATAAAACTAATTTCTAAATAATGTGACTTCATTTGCTATCATTGCTGTTCTCCCATGCATTTCCTTTTTTGTGTTTTCTGTAGAAGTTTGCTTTATTCCGATAGTAATTTTTTCATCATTCTAAAATAAACAAACTTAACTTTTTTAAGACAAAGCCTAGTTAATATCTAACCTGTTTAATTCACTCCCCCCAGTTAATTGGGAGTTGAATGTACAGTATTTTTTTATATAAATCAAAGATGCAGAACTATGAATTTGTAGCAAAAATTGCTCTTTTCGACCGAGCTCCTTATAGCCTAGCAGAGAAGATGCAGAACTCGAAACCCAAAGGTCCCGGTTTAGCTAAATTTCTCGGCAAGAAACCCATCAACGGCAAGATGCCTGATAATTTTGTTTTTATGTAAATTTCCTTCTTGTTAATGTTATCTTATTTATGTAAATTTCTTTCTCATTCTTCCAGAACATTTCAAGTCTGGAATGTTCCAGCATGTTCAACAGCTGTATATATAAGTAGTTCTTCATTCAGTTTGAGTTAATAATAAAGTCTTGAGTTTAGACTTTGAGTACTTGCCTGTTCATTTGTAGGATCCCTTCATCTATGCGACAATATTTTAAAGTTATCTTCAATAATCTCCAGTTCTATTGAATGAAGACAAATGGCATATTGTAAATTTACTCTAATGTTTGAGATTGAAAATGTATTTAAAATATAATTTGAAAATAAATATTATTGACAAAATACAACACTATCTTCGTCAGCCAGCAAACATAAATACACTCTGGCAATATCATGGATTGCCTATATTGGCAACATGGCATATTGCCTCATCAGTACTCTTCATGGGGGGTGCAAATAATAAAAAAGTACTGATGAATCATTACCAATTTTTCATCTTGATATTAGAGGAATAAAAAATAAAGCATCAAGGAATATCAGAAAAAATATCACTGAACCATTACTGTTTCTTATCCTAATATTTCTTTATAATTCAACTAAAGTGAAAAATTATCATGAAACTAAAAATAATAAATTAGGGATTTCTCATAATAATGTCTGAAGAACAGGAAAAGACAATATAAGAATAAATATCACTGAATCATTTGTCAATGTTTCTTGCTCTAATATTACTTTATATTCTCTTCACCCTGATCCAATTTTATTTTCCTCTAAATGCTTTTTACATTCATATGCATCCTTGAAAATGCAAAATGAAATCTTCATTAACTTATATACATTCTGTGTACTTTAAATATGTAAATAAGAAATTTATTGTTATTGGAATATTAACATCATTTGCAAGAAATTAAGTTCATACATACTTTTAAGTCAAATTAGTGATATAAATGCATACTCATGTATTAGCATGTTCACATGCAGACATATGACGTGGTGGTATCATCTAATAGCCAACCATACAGCAACATTTGGGGTATACATTTGCAAACTGTTTCTCCATTCAGCTTCTGGTGAAGTTTCAGATATTTGCCCTGACAGTGAATGTTTTAACACATTGAGGACAGCATGTACCACCGGTGGCTCACATGCAAATGGTTTATCTGGCGGCATGTACCACCGGTGGCCCACATGCGAATGGTTTATCTGGTGGCCACTAGTGGCTCACACACAAATGGTTTATCTGGTGCACGCAATTGGTTCAACTGGCAGCGTGTACTGCCGGTGGCTCATATCAGCTATAGTTTTATAATACAGTTTTATTTGATGAAAAAACCTTCACATGGTTAAAAAAAAAATAACTTTTTTATTGAAAAATTGAAAAGCTTATGTTTACAGGTAGACTATAGTAGACTTAATGTATTTACATATTTATTTGTTTTTGTGGGTTTTTTTAAAAACATTTTAGACATACTGGTGGTTCACCGCAAAATAGGCAAAACGTTGTAACCCTTTTCGATTTATTTGCAACAATATTTTTACCTCGTCGAGCAGATAAGTATTTATAACATTCACAGCATTGATGCCATGACTTTCTTGCAGTTCCAGAATACTTCCCAAGATAACGTGTAGTTCTTTTAGGTGTTTGTGGTTCTGTAGGCATTTCATTTAGGAGACGATCAATAATATTTTCTCTAAATTTTAAAATATTAAAGTGCTTAGTACTCCACTTCTTATGAATATACCATGCATTAATAACTGGTGTTGCGCAAATCAGTTCTATGATAAATTTTCTGTATCACTTAACGATTTTGTGTAAGGAATTGTAATATGATTGGATACATTGTTTTTTTCTGCATTATTGTAGTCAAAAATGGCATCAGGTTTTAGTTTACCACTTGTTCCTTCAATCATAGTGCAAGTATGATTGCTGCAAGTAGTTAACACGCAAACTGACCATTTATCTATTTAAAAAATTTAACTCCTTTAGGATTTTCAACATTCCCAATGTTACATAGTTTTTGTTTTAGTTTTGATTCTGCTGATAGAAATTTTCTATTTACTTTTACAGTACCACATAAATTTGTTTGATTTATCTAAAAGTTCTTCAGCTAAAGGCACAATAGTAACTATCTGTATACAAAGTGCGTCTCTCAAATAACAATCCATTCATTCATAAATCGCATTACAACGTCATGTGCATGTCCTTTTGTTGTGGAGTTTACATTCTTTCCAGCATAAATTTCAACATTATAGGCATAGACTCCAGTCAAACACAATTTGTATAATTTAACACCATATTTATGCCATTTCCCTGGAATGTATTGGCGAAACAGGAGTCGCCCTCGCAAACAAACCATGCTTTCATCTATTACAATGTTTTTTCCAGGTTTCACTGCATTTTTGAATAAATCAATGATTATTTTCACAATGATGTGAATTTTGTTCAACTGATCGTCAATTATAACTGTTTCATTATTAGAAATGTGTAAATATTTCAATATAGTCAAAAAATGATTATGTCTCATAACTTTTTTTTATATGCGCGTTTGAATACACTGTATTTTTCGACCAATATAACTTAATAATTTCTAGCAATCACACTAGACCCATAATAATAAGTATGGCAATAAACTTTTTTATTTCTTCTATCGTAACAAACATCCAGGATTATGGTGTTTTCTGGTGGTGGATAAAGAACTATTTTCCACACCAACATTGGATTGTTCAGCGTATCTATTTGTTTCATTCACTATTAATTCTAGAACCCTATCTGACAAAAATAACTGGTACAACAAAAAAGGATCCTCACAATTAACATTTTCGTGCAAAATTCCTCGTCTTCATATACTACATATCACACTGCTTATTACTGTGACCTGCTGCCATTCTGTCTCCTCATCACTTTCTTCCAAACCAGTTTCTAAAAACTCTAGCATCGTAGTATATTTATCAGATGTCTTAAACGAGGCACATTCCTCCAAATCATAAGTGTCATTGTTATTCTCCTCTGAAGAAGATGAAAGTATCATCTGCCTTGATCTTTGTCTGTGGAACACATTTGTAGACTCATCTGATGAGTCATCTATTAACATAAAATCCATTTCCTCTATTTTCTAGGGGTGAAAATTCTAATATATTACAAATTTTACTGACTGTGTCTTAACTGACTGACTGTTTACCAGAAGAAATTAACTTTTAATTTTGTTAAATTTCATATTCTTGAGTACAAAATGAAAAACAAAGTTGCATGCCAACAGCTGTTCACTATCTGTTAGTAATCCGTAACGAATGAAGAATTATTCATCAACACTCAACTTTATATTTACAGAACCAACTAAGTGCAAGTGCTTGACAAACAAAATAAGAGTAAAAAGAAACTCCTCTTGTAAAGAATACTCTAAACATATAGTAAAGGGAAACTACACTTATGTGTCTGAAGTTTTGCTACACAACATTGATGCATGGCGCCGCCAGGTAAAACATAGTAATATTTTTACTGTCATCCGGTGGCCCAATATAGCAAAATTTGTGCCGTCCTCAACGTGTTAAGCAATGTTAGGAACTTTGCTTAGTACCAAACGGTACCAACCAATACATATCTTTCTTCTTAGAACAACCACATCTTCAACTTCCAATGTATTGATTTAAACACTTGTTTAGTCTTGTTAAATAGTTTTAATATGTTCCATCCTTGGACATATTACTTCTTCTTCTTTTTTTGTTTTTGAGATTTGTCTTATAATGAAATTTAAGTTGACAGCTTTCTTCAGAATCATGCAATGTTATAAAGGAGTTCAGTATGCTCTTATTCTCATATAATGAAATTATACATCAATAAAGAAAATGTGTTATGAAAGAGTAACATCAAAATGAAAAGATATGTGATATAAATGAGAATAAGAAGTTGATTTGAAGGAAGCCGGGTCACATTTATAACACCCTATAATATTATTGTTCAAGAATTTAACAACAGTAGGATTTTGCAAATAAGAATATGTAACAGTCAATACTATCACACAACAGAAAAATTATTATGGAGAACCTCACATTACCTAAACAGAGGGAGATTTCATATCAAGCTATGCAAAATAGCAATTAAAATTACACTGATATCAAACCAAAGTTCCTTTACTGTTACTCAAATAGTTAGCACCAGTTAAATTTGGCCACGAAGAAGAGATGGCAGGTAAAACTGTTGTAGAATAGGATTATTATCTTTGAGAAGCTTAGCAAAGCAGATAGACAACTGAAATCCTGGCATGAAAAGCAACAACCAAAATCCTCAACCTGGATTGCAATCAAATTTACTTTAACAACACCTACAGTGCCAGGTTTCTCAAATGAGTTAATACCAGCTAAATTTTGGCAAAAAATAGAGACAGGTAAACTATGATAGAATGAAACAGTTGTCTTTGAGGATTTTGCATTACTTAAACATAGGGAGATCTGGTATTTTAGCATGCAAATCAGAAATTAAAGTCTCCAGTATCCAAACTGCACCCCAAATTACCAAGCTAAGTTTTCGTTAGTTGCTCAATACATTAGTGATTATAAATAATGTCATTCCATGAATAAGTAATTAAAATTTAAAATAAGAAATACTCACCAAAATGTATTTTCAGAAGCATCTGCATGTATGTTAGGCCATTTGACTTCTAGTGCTAGCAGTATAGGCTGTTAAAATTTCACATCTTTATTCAAAATCTTGTAAGATTGTATATTTTAACTATGGCAAAGAATAATTTATGAGCAATTTTTTAGAACTGATAACACATTTTTAGCATTAAACAGTACAAGTACAGGCAATAATAGAAAAAATTACACAGAACAAAAACAGAATATTACAGGCACCTTGACATATTGCAATCTCAGTTCAATCCAATTTCCAGTGTCTGTAAAATCAATGCTTATGCTGACTCATCAGCAGCTGAACAATAAAGTTGCAAAAACTGATAGTTCGGCTAGGGTTTGAATCTTGGCAAATGGGCTGGCCTGTATGGCCATTTACAAGGCACCCCTTCCCTTAGGCAAATAGCCCTCAAGTGCTTTGCCATAATTAAATAAACCAAATCAAACCTATGCTTATGCTACATAAACTTTAGTCTTTAAAGTTTTCCCACTTTCTTGTTCTTACTGGTACAACGTTTATAATCATCTTCAAAACTTTTCCTTTTTCTTAGCAAGACTAATTATTTGATGCAAAAAGTCTAGTTCTGACCCTAACAACAACTAAATACTTTCTTGGTAAGCTTTTTTTAAGTTTTGATGCATCATTTTTAGCTTTTGATTTAGAAAGAAAGATGGGTGGTTCTTCCTATCACCTGAACACTTGAAGGTTTGTAAGATTCCTAATTCTAAGTGATATCATTAAAATATTAGGGAAAAAGTTAAATTATTGTAATTTTTTTATTTTTGAATTTTTACTGCAAAAAATTAACAAATGATGTATTAAAAGTTTTAAAAAAATACCAAGAAAAATCTTTTGCCCAGGTCAGCATGACTGGAAGGCAAAGTACAAAACGGAAAAAAAGTTCAAATGGAATTGCAATAATGCAAAAAATAGAAATTTATATGAAAATATTTTAATAATATCTTAAAAGCTTTTAAGATCAATAATTAAAAACTAAAATTCATTCCAAAATCAAATATACTCTAAAGCAGTTTCAATATGTAATTACAGAAAATAGAGCAAAACCAGCAGTTATAAAAAAGGTACTTTGTGCTTTGCCTTCTAGGTATGCCAACCATAAAGAACAATAAAATTTTTTTACAATTTCCTCATAAATTCATATTACATGCACAGCAATTTCTGCACAAGTAATGACTTTATTTTTGATTTTTGAATTTTCCTTTCTGTTTTATGATATGTAGATATTGTAAGAATACTGCAATATTTTGAATACAATAGTAAGAGAAATTAATAAGGTATGTAACTTTAAAAATAGATAAAATTTATTAACAATCCTCTGATGACTTGAATAATAAATATGGCATTATTCATTAAATATTTAGTGACTATTATTCAGTTATCATACAATTTTGATATAATAATAACAATGAAAAAGGTCTGAAATACTGTGGGATTTAATAAAATGTAAGATAAAGATATAAAGAAAATAAATTTGCTTTGCAAATCAATAACAAGTGATTGACCTGATATAGGAATATCAAAATTTTTAATTTATAAAAAAGCACAGTATCTGAGAAATTCAATAAAATGAAATATGCCTGTATAACAAAAGAAAAAGCTTACATCTGGAAATTAAATATTATTAAATAATATACATTGTTGCAATAAATTTGTAAAATTTGACTTTTTAGTACTGATTTCTAGTATCCCTAAAAATTCAAAAAATAACTACTGAAATAATGATATCTCACTATATGACATTCTTGATACAATTACTAATTACTTACAAATACTTACTCAATGTGGATTATATTAATATGCTTTTCGGCTTAATCCTAGTATACGGTGCACATGAGGGTTGGCGAAATTCGGGTTTAAGAGACTAATAAGCGCGCCAATTGTGGTAACCAAGCCGATTTTGGAATGCTCTGGAGGAGAGTGCATTTGGGAGCATTTTCGCGCATGCTCATTAAATATTTAAAATTGAGAAGTTTTGATTGGTGCAGATGGAAGAGAAGAATTATTTCAAACCATTGTTTGAAGTTCTGTTAATTTTCTGTCTTCAGCTGAACTGAATGAGAAAGGATAACGTATGTTCAGGTAAAATTTATTTATCTTTTATTTTTTGTATTTTTTAAAATAACAGTAGTGGTTCCGCCAAGTTTCTGATTGGTTAATATTTTTTTAATTAATCGGTTTTTGGTCAGATACTGAATATGATTTTAGTTTGATAACGTCTTTTATTCTACAGTTCGAGTTGCTAACGTATTTTGTTCTACAGTTGGATAACGTTACTTTCGATTATGATGTGCAGTGCTATGAATTGCGAATATTTAAACACGAAATTTTTTTGGAAGTTAGAACCGGAAGGAAAGCTTGCTGTAATTCAATGGGCAGTAGATGCCGGATTGCTGCCGAATTTTAAAAATCGCGCCATGGCCGCACCGTATACTAGGATTTGGAAGGAACGTGGAGTGCTGTTAAGCGTGGGATGAAGGGGACGAAAAAGGTAAGCGAAGAGTTTGACTCATTTGGTGGAATATATGTGGCGACGCCTGAAAAATAATAAATCGTCATCCGAAAAAATGAAAGACTTTATATTTGCAATAAAAGCAATATATCCGCCACCCGAGTTTGAGGGCCATGGCATTTGAGTTATGATATAGACCCTAAAACATATGTGACACTGAGCCATGGTATTTAATTTATTATATTTGATATGTGAATGTTTTGTATTTGTTGCGATGCATGTTGAAAATTATATTTTTATTTGTTATAAAGTCTGTTAAAAATTATTTTCAATTTCTAAATGCTTGCTTTTTTTCTTGTGTCTCACCGTATGCTTAGGATTTATTATCTTATGATTATCATTTTGTTTACTTTTTTTGCCAACTCAAACTTGTGGTGACGCTTTACTTTGAGGTTGCCAAAAATTTGGCGACAAACGTAAACGCATCATTTTGGTGTTGGCGACAATTTTAAAAATCGCGCCAAGGCCGCACCGTATACTAGGATTTTCCTTAAATGATAAGCATACACATATTTGCTACATCGTGCATGCAAAATGATCATATTACAACTCAAATTTTGATGTTATTTAATATTGCATTCTTTTTTTTGGTATATTTATTTTCTCATGTTTATTTTGTTGTTTGCAATCTGTACGCACATGCTTTATTTATATTGTTTGCGTGAATGGCAACAGTTGTTCATGTTTATGTTTCAGTAGAATAGCGTTCTTAGCCGCACTGAGCTGCAAGCAATTTTTTCTCTTAAATATTTCATCTTTTAGAATAACAATAAAGTTTATTATACAAAGCTGATGCTTTTTAGTACAAGGCAACTAGGCACGTTTCAGATAACCGGACCTTGGCGATTTTTCGGCCGCCATCTTGGATTTCAAAAATGCGCTTTCCAGGATGGTGGCCAAAATTGTTATCCCTGTCCGAGAGAATTTGAAGAGGGAAAACAATTCTGAACTACCAAACATGCAACATGCAAAGAACAAGACAAAATTTAACTTACCCCAATTTATGCTGACATACTGACGATTATAATATTTTTTGCTGAGCACAAGTTTATGAGATATAAATTAAATTACTTAAATTGCATTCAATGCGATTAATTTAATGTGGATGATCAAAATAAACTAAACATTAAAAATTTAATATTCTTGTTTTTTCAATTATTTCTTCAATTCTTAATTGATCTACATGACTATAATATATGTAATATTTGCTTTAAAAAAATATTTTAAGCCTGAAATCACTTTAGACTTTAAGTTTCATTAAGTATAGTTCTTATGTTTAAATGTTAAGATCGAAATACAGAAAGTGCAAAAAATTAGAATTTTCTGCAAATCGCATATTTGAAAAACATTAAAAAATACAGTTTCATACATTAAAACTAAAAGAAATATGTCATAAAAACAATCAATCAAGAACTGTACCCTTATATAAATAATAAATTTAATAAACAATTTTGATAAATCTAGGAAAGCTGTGAGCTTTAAAACATACAGTAAAAGATTTTTTAAAAAATTCTTTAGTATCGTTAATAAAAGATTAAGTAAGGATGTTAAGTATTTACTTTATTCTTGGTATCATCCTCCAACATATACGGAATTAAAGTTAATTTATATTAGAATATAATTTAAAATAAAAACAATCAAGAACTGTACCCTTATATAAATAATAAATTTATAAACTATTTTTATAAATCTAGGAAAGCTGTAAGCTTTTAAAACATACAGTAAAAGTTTTTTTAAAATTCTTTTAGTATCGTTAATAAAAGATTAAGTAAGGATGTTAAGTATTTACTTTATTCTGGTATCATCCTCCAACAATATACGGAATTAAAGTTAATTTATATTAGAATATAATTTAAAAACATACAAATAAAATGTATTAAAATTAAGACTTACTTTAGTTCACAGGCGCCCAGCAATTTTTTTCCACCACGAGGCATAGTTCGCGCAAATTTAGCGCCAAAAAGCGGGTAACAACAAGTGTGAACAATGAAGTGACAGTGCAGTGAACAATGAATTCAGATCGTTAAGTTAATAATTTTTGCAACATTTATTTTTTAGTTTGCATCATTTTTCTGATATTCAGACGCTTTTGTTTATACACAATCTACCTTTGTACTCATTCTAGAAACAAATATTTAAGGTCTTATCTGTACAGTTCATAATTAATAATACTGCTGTTTAATAACCCTTAAAAGGAAGCACTTCCGCAGAGAATCCGGTAAATGTAAACATCGCCAACTTTGGCGATAATAGTTCAAACCTGGTAACTCAGCGCATTTATCATATTCGCTTGTTCGAAGTTTGTAACCATTCCTCTTGGGTTCATTTTGTTGAATTATCACTGTCGTTGTTCGCATTTGCAGATTTATATTATTATTTATTCTGAATTTTTTAATAATGAATGGATAGAAATATTTTCGTAGATAGATGCCGGTTCTCGGTTCGGGATGAAAGGAAGAAAATACGGCGTGAGGGGTGAATGCTAATTTGTAACACGGCTGTTCACGTTGTGTT